ATTGATGAAATCCACAACAGAAAACCTCCACGAAATAAGTAACACTTTAAATTTATATCATTTATTCTTTATGTCTGTTGTATCATCTATAAATCATACCCCTCCTTATAGCCCTTCACTGGCCTTTGGAATACAATAAAACTCTTTTTTTTTTTTTTTTTGAGATGGAGTTTCGCTCTTGTTACCCAGGCTGGAGTGCAATGGTGCGATCTTGGCTCACCGCAACCTCCGCCTCCTGGGCTCAGGCAATTCTCCTGCCTCAACCTCCTGAGTAGCTGGGATTACAGGCACATGCCACCACACCCAGCTAGTTTTTTGTATTTTTAGTAGAGATGGGGTTTCACCATGTTGACCAGGATGGTCTTGATTTCTCGACCTCGTGATCCACCCGCCTTGGCCTCCCAAAGTGCTGGGATTACAGGCTTGAGCCACCACGCCCAGCCACAATAAAACTCTTTATCGTAGCCTTCAAGGTCCTATGAGACCCATCATCCCCTGCCTACCTCCGTGATCTTATTCTCCCATCCCATTTTATCTGTCTCACTGTATGCTTCAGTCATACAAGTCTCCTTTCTAATCTTTGAATATTATCAAGGTCATTCCAAACTCTACATCTTTGTTCCTGTTTTTACTTCTACTTAGAATACTTTTCTTCATCATCATTGCAATAGGGAAGACAATGGTTAAATCTCATTGTTATGTAATCCTTATTTCAGAGAGGCTTTCCTGACCACCCAATCTGAACTAGCGTTCCCTACTCCTTGAAATAAACCTTCTGTCACTTACGTATTGCTAGCCTACTATATGGTAAACCATAACATAGAATATCCTTTTATTAGCTTAAGAAAAACTAGTGAGGGTCTGTTTATTTACAGTGAATAATGCTGGCTCCTTTATTTGAGAAGTAGGTATATGTTTTCCTGTATTCTAAAATTGCCCACTTTTACCTAATATTGTGTAGAAAAACAATTCCTATCAAGCATTGTTTCTTTATATTCAGATATTTTCTCTGTAATAAATAAATGGGGACATGGATTTTCCAATTTATTTTTCTAAAATTGAACGTTTGGAAGAACTATTGCTAATTCTGCCATTAAATTATCTGGGGATATTATACTACCTCATAAAATTTTTGAGGAAAGAAAGGATTATCATGTTGGTTTAAGAATTCATAAATTAAGTTACACTAAATTCTTAGGGTGTTAGAAAAATAATCTATATCCAGTATTGTGTTGCAGCCAACTTGCACTGGCTCATGTAAGATCTGCTTGTTAATTTCCAGGAACTTTGCAAACAGGTTGATTTTTGCATGAAAGCTTCAAATTGGCCATGGTGGGAGTATTTACACCACGGAAATTGGCAAACGCTACATACCATGGCTTCCTCCGCTTTTCTCCACCCAAGCCAGACAGCCAGAATACCAGCACATCGTTATATATAACTAATATTTTAGAGGCTGACAATTCAATGATGACCAAAGATTGGGCTAGCTCAAATTAGTCAAGTTACCTTTAAGGCTCTTTGGATTTAAAAAGCCACACATTTTGAGCATGGAAGAAAAGATTTTTAAAAATAAATTATTTGTACACAGAACCAGATATTTAAGATAAAAATAAAATCATCATTTTTGTGTTTGCTTCTTTTTTAAAAAAAATATATTTTATTGCATTTTAGGTTTTGGGGTACATGTGAAGAACATGCAAGGTTGTTGCATAGGTACTTACATGGCAGTGTGGTTTGCTGCCTTCCTCCCCATCACCTATATCTGGCATTTCTCCCCATGTTATCCCTTCCCAACTCCCCACTCCCTGCTGTCCCTCCCCTAGTTCCCCCCCACAGACTCCAGTGTGTGATGCTCCCCTCCCTGTGTCCATGTGTTCTCATTATTCAACACCTGCCTGTGAGTGAGAACATGCGGTATTTGATTTTCTGTTCTTGTGTCAGTTTGCTGAGAATGATGGTTCTTATACCTCCCGAGTCAGGCTGCTGAATTATTTCAAAATATTGTTAAAATATATACTCTGGGTTGAGCAGATGGCTACCTTCTGGTACTTGTGACACCAGCTTTCCCCAACTCCCATACTAATAACACAGCTCAACTAACTGATTTTATATGCATTATATCTTAGTTACAGTGAGTTTATTAGACCATTTCTTTGGGGAAAGAAAAGGATTCAAAGAAGAGTTAGCTGGAGACCCCGATTAATTATAGTTTATAATGTTGGAGCAAGTAAAGACTAATGAGAGTTGACCTAAGGTTTTCAGTCAACAATGGGAAAGGACTTTAAGGGAAATTACATGAAAAGGCAAGGCTTTGAGCATTATTCTCTGACAAATACATCTTTGGGGTTGTACCACACAGAGGCACAAGATATCTATCTTGCTGTGAGAGCAGAGACAGATTATTTGTGACAATTCAGAAATAAGAATGCTATTTGGCAATACCTGTATGGAGGTGTTAATGGTAAGATGTAGGTCTTATATTGATTAGTTTCTTTAAAGGTGACACAACAGCCTATATGGAAGCCTCCAGTTTGTTTCTTCAGAGACCTGAAATTAAATGTTCTCCATCCAATATAAAATTTGAGAAACAGAACCATCCTGAAATCCTGTTCTTCCCATCCCACACTCTGCATTTTGTGATAAACAGTTGGAAAGCTTGGATAATTCTAAGAAATCATGTTAGAACTCATTGTTTAATATTTTGTAATGTCTTCATCAGTTTAATAATTTTATTTATGAGAGGGGAGAAAGTGACTTTCTTCAGTCGTCTTTGGATGGCGCTAATTATGTTCTTAGAAGAGGGCTTCATTTTTAATCTTGCTTCATGTCTAGGACTTAAATCTTTATGGATCACTATTACTACTTCCCAAAGGAAAATATACCATCTGTATGTAGCTAAACAAGTTGTGGTTCTTGATTAATTTTAATTGTGCAAGAAGCTATGAAACCATTAAATGGCCTCACTCTCTGACAAAAAAAAAAAAAAAAAAAAAAAAAAAGAAATTTTAGGAAAGAGAAAATATAATACAGTTTGACCAAAATTAATTTCCTGAATACCAAGTAAGCCCAGATTCTTGGAAAAATAATCCTAGAAGAGTAGATCTCAGGAGTCAATATGATGGTGCCACTGGTATTCTTGAGACCAGGAATGGTGACAGTAATTACAGGGAGTGGTGAAGATAATACTGCAATTAATACCTCTATGCTACAACCTTTATCTCCTACGATTTACTGAAAGTAACATTTTATTCCTCAGTCTTCACATATAAACCTGTTAAGTTGGTATTTTTGAAATATCATTTTGTAGATGATAACATGGAAATTCAGAAAAGTAAGACAACCCACTCAAATTTTTTAGGTGCCAGGGCTAGGATTGAGACCCAAATATATGTCTCTTCAAAACCTGTTTTTTTTTCTTTTACATTTCAATAGACACATACTTTCTTACTTGAAAATCAATTATGTATGCTGCATTTTCACTTAAAAATAATAGAAGAATTTCCTCCATGCCATTAACAATCCTCGTAAACATAATTTTAATTGCAGTATAACATTCATTCTAGGAATATTCTTCATAGTAATAAAATTTCAATTGTTTTTATTGTTCTGTGTATCTCTGTACTACTTAAACTGAATCATTACCAAGCATAATGTGAGAAGCCTAGGCTGGTTATACTGAGGTCTAGATGAAAAATCTCCAGAAATGGGAAGAGAAGACTAATTCTTTAGTCAGTATTCACTACTGTGGGTCATTTCCCTGGAAGCCACTTGCTAAGCAAATGTGGACAAAGGTCAGCTTGTGTTTAATTTTTTTAAAATTAAGACAATAGTATAACATATCAAATGTGCTTTCTCCTCTCTGGATTGCTAAGGTGTTTGGTTTCATCTTGTCTAGCTTCTGACTTCTCTGATAGTGCTCTGATTGTCTTCCTCCTGATAAAATATTTCTAGATGTCTCTTCCACTTTGATTTTTGCATTCTTAGAAAGTCATTTGCAACTTCTTATCCCAGCAAATAAACATCGCAATGTTTTAAGTTCTCCTAAATTGTTCTTGTTAACCACTGAGTTCCAATTACAAAATGTATGAATATCTTTCCTACTGACTACTTGTCTTGAATACCATGCCTAAAACATGCTGCACTTCAAGCATCTTGTTCAATAGAGTTCTATCTGCCTGGTTACCTGAGTCTAAGCTGATTGAAGAAGGAAATTTTCTCAAAAAAAGCATGGGATGTATATAAAGAATGTCACGTTCCTACCAGTTGTTTCAAGCAACTAGGTAGGAGTCCGATTCTTATCTTTTTTAATCCAAAATATTACTTGAGCAATATTATCCCCCACCATTTACTGAAAGTAACATAATATTCACCAGTCTTCACATATAAAACTGTTAGGTTGGTATCCTTTTAAAATACTATATTATAGATGACTGGCATCTTAGTAGACACTGGGCATACAGTAAAGAACAAATTTAAAATGATCCCTGCCTATGTGGGGCATAAAGTCTAGTGGAAGAGGTGCATAAAAAATAAGCAAACTTCTTTTTTTCTGTGATTGTGTATAGTACGATACATCCCTGTGTTCTTTTACAAACACAAACAGTAGTAATGGCATTTGTTCTGGAGTTTTAAAATTTTGTTCATATTTATTCTTAAGCTAAATTACAAACTTCAATTTTAAATGTTTATCCATTGGTTTCCCAACAATCTTTGTGATTAAGGAAACATCTAAAGCAAAATGAACGTGTATAATTTTGTTTGTTGGTTGGTGGGTAGGTTACTTACTCATTAAATGATAAGATACTTTAAAAAAATTTCTTAGTGCCTTTTTTATGCTGCTATGGAACTACTTCATTCTCAGGTCTTACAAAAAATTATTGGATTCCTAACAAGAAAATACATTTGTGGTGTGCCAGAGCACTGTATGGCTCTGCTAAACCTCATAAACTGAAAGAGTTTGTCACATGTACCAGTAAATCTTCCCTCTCTTGCCATAGGTCCAAGGATCTTATCAAGGAAGCTATCCTTGATAATGACTTTATGAAGAACTTGGAGCTGTCACAGATCCAGGAGATTGTGGATTGTATGTATCCAGTGGAGTATGGCAAAGACAGTTGCATCATCAAAGAAGGAGATGTGGGGTCACTGGTGTATGTCATGGAAGGTAAGGTTCGTAACTCCAATCCTCTGACATTCAAATATTCTCTTTTCGTCTTATCAGCCTGCACACAGATGGCAATGCATTACATGGAAAATTCCATTTTCCTTCTTCTATTGATAAATTAGTTTGAAAAGCATTGAAACACTATTTAGATACAGCGGTTAACTATGTGAAGTGTTTGTATTTAGAATATTAATATGAGAATCCAGTATTTTTATAGACATGAGGAAAGTTAAAAATGTGAAAAAAGAAATGTCACTTATTACGTGGAATAAGACTGCATGCAGTTAGGTCACTGAGCAGACATACAAAGCTTCGGCAAAAGCTCAAGATCACTGGAAGTATTTTTGGTCTGATAATTTAAGTGTCTTCAACTCTACCCTTAACTTTTAATATGTGACTAGTTTTCCTGCTATGAAGCCTCTATAAAAAGAAAATGTTTTTCATGTGTATGACAGAGGCAGATAATAAGGTTTGGATGGCATATTACCTGCCTAATTAATAGAATGATAGCTTGTTTCATACATCTTGTAAAGACTAATATAGAAAGTGCTTTGAAAAAAAAATGGAGGCGGGCACTGTATAAATATGTTTTATGCCTAGGTAAATTTTCATAATACTTATTTCTGACTTGCAATTTATAATGACATGTTTTGTGGGAAGAAAGTAGCTTGTGATAATGACTGAATCAGCTGGGAAGAAAGTATGTTCAGAAATACCTGTAATGTAAGACATTGACACATAAAAACCAGTTTCTTAGGTGATGATTAATGTTTTATCCAAAAGACTTGTGTGATAGTGTCTTATAATTATCAAACTTATAGGTCATTTAGAGAAGGGGTGTATTTGGGGAAGTCACTTCATTTCTCTACATTTCACCTAACCAATTTGTAAAAAAAGAAGATATTTCTTTCTGCCAGTGGTTTTCAACTGGTGAGGATTCTGTCTCCCAGGGGACATTTGGTGATATCTGCAGACAGTTTTGGTTGTCACAAAGCGGGTGATGTTGGGGAGACTACTGACTTCTAGCAGGTAGAAGCCAGGCATACAGCTCAAAAGGGTAGTTTCCCAGCACAAAGTTTTATCTGACCCAAAATGTCATTAGAGCCAACCTTTTAAAAATCTTGCATTCTGCCTTCTTTATAGGATTGGTATAAAATGAGATAATTTGTATGAATGTTTAATGTAAAGTATATAAAACCACAACATAATAATAATTATTATTACTATTAAAAACTTGGCTGGGCATGGTGGCTCATGCCTGTAATCCCAGCACTTTGGGAGGCTGAGGCGGGCGGATCAAGAGGTCAAGAGATTGAGACCATCCTGGCCATGAAGAAACCTTGTCTCTACTAAAATACAAAAATTAGCCAGGTATGGTGGCACGCGCCTGTCGTCCCAGCTACTTGGGAGGCTGAGGCAGAAGAATCGCTTGAACCCAGGAGGTGGAGTTTGCAGTGAGCCGAGATTGCGCCACTGCACTCCAGCCTGGTGACAGAGCAAGACTCCGTCTCAAAAACAAAAAACAAAAAACAAAAACAAAAAAACTTGACAGTATAAAAGAAATATTCTTTCTTCATTCAGCATGCACCTTTTATTTATTCTGTGTCATCTTTTTGTATATATGCTAGGCATTCAGTTTTTAAGTAGTAGTTTCTATCATTTTTTTTCTAATAGTTTTCACTTTCTGTGTCAACGACATAAAGTTCTTCCTAGGCCCAAAAATATAAATATTCAGCTAGGCTTTCTCTGGTGACAAAACACAATAAACAAAAATATGCATAATGTATACTTGGCAGAGAATTGCAAAGAAAAGAGATGAAATTATAGCTCAAGGCTAATATGTGAATAGTGACCAGAAAAGATGAGAAAAGTGGAAAAAATATATAGAGGTCAAGTACCGAATATAAAACCAGAGGCAATATCTTAAGAACTACTAACAATTAGAAACCATGTTTAAAGCATTTCTGAGATTATATCAATTGCTTCATATGATATTAATTTTCAGATATTATATTGGTCAGCACATTTTAATAAAAGAGCTATTGTATAAAGGAGAGTATACTTTTTTCTGTTTTCAAATGCTAATTATTGCTATTTCTTTCAAGAAACCACAATTTTGAAATTCTGTGGGTTCAGTGTTCCTTCATCTTGAATTATTTCTTACAAAAATATATTCCCAAATTACCATGTAAATTATTTCTAAAATTTATTTGTGTTGTCCCTTCTTACTAAGCATAACTGAAAATTTTCTAGCTATGTTAGAAGCAGCTTGAGAAAAATAGTTAATATTTGTTAATGTTTAGAAAATGCCCAACACAGAGAATATGTTTTTTCTAATTATTTTTACATGTAAAATTTATTTAACCTCAAACACTCCTGTGAGGTGAAGGTTAATATTTAATATCCCATTTTGTAGATGAGGAGACTGAGGCTCAATGTGGTTAAATAATTTGCCCAGGTCTCCCAACTAGTATATAGTAGAGTCAGCATTTATACCAAGCCTATTTGGATTCAGAGCTCAAACTGTTAACTATGGGGCTATGTATTAGTCAAGGCTCTCCAGAAAAATAGGACAAATAGAATGTGTATGTCCATACATAGTGAGAAGAAGATATATTTTAAGGACTTGGTTTATGTGATTGTGGAGGCGGGCAAGTCCAAAATCTACAGAGTAAGGCCCATTGGTCAGACATGCTGCAACTCAAGTCTGAAGGCCGTCTGCTGGCAGAATTCCTCTTCCTAGGGGAAAGGTTGGACTTTTTCTATTCAACTGATTGGATGAGGCCCGCCCACATTATTGGAGGGTAATCAGCTCTATTCAATGTCTATTTATTTAGATGTTAATCTCATAAAAAATATCTTCACCATAATGTCTACAGTAGAATAATCTTTGAGCAACTTTCTGGTATTGTGACTTATCTAAGTTGACATGTAAAATTAAACATCACAAGTCGATCAACCCCTTGTCAACTTGGCACCCATACATAGCTTCTTAAACCGTATTTAATCTTCATATAAAGACAAGAACACGATTGTGCTTCCACCTAACATGATTCAACAACCCTATGTACAACTGCAATTTACTAATTCTTTCTCCAAAAGAAGACACAAAGTTCTTGGGTGATGTTTACTCCTATCATTGATATCCCATAGCTTAAATACTATAATGTGAAGTTATTAATATTTAAATACTATGATATAAAGTCAGTACATCTTATGACGCATGTTAAGGAAATAAGAGAGGGAAGCAAACAAAGGTATTTGATACAAACATGAACACACATTAATGTAACAAAATAAGGAAGAAATACTCATGATAGATAATGCTGCTTCCCAGGTAACTAATATTTTCCCCATTGCTTCATGATAATTTTAATAAATTTTTTAATCTTTCTTCTATTGCTGGATTACTAAACAGCACATCATCTTAATTATCCTTTTAAAAACAGGGTTCTAAATAATATATCAATATTCAGAGTCACAGCTTTTGGAATGATGTTGATTGCCTTCAGAGTTACAGCTTTTGAAGTGCTGTTGATGGCCTTTAAACTCAATAAAATGACTACAGTTTTATAACCTACTGCTGATCTTTCCCTAAATGGTAATTCTAGTCAGCTCAATTTAACTTTAGCAGATCTTGTGCTAATAGCCTTATGTCAAAATAATTTAAAATTAAAAAAACAGTCATTTAAATTTTAAAAAGTTAATTGAGGAAATGTTTCATTGTATAATTAAATCTTCTCAAAATTTAGATAGCAATGTTCTTGATATAGATGGATTCTTTGTTATCTGTGAACATTAATATTTATAAAGAGTATACCATGGTAACAATGAATGAATAGGTTGTAAAGCATCTTTCACAAACTTGCTTACCATCAAGATATTCAGCAAAACACCCAGGGAGTTTATATGGAAAATCAGTCCAATTTTTCCTGTCTCTCTTGAATGAAATTAAGTGGTCTTCATAAAATGCTTAACATGTGCCTTACATAATTTTTTGTTTTCATCCTGGGCAATGTTCCAAGAATTACTACATACCTAAATGCCAAAGGTTTTTATGGTTTTAACAAAGAGAATACTCATATGGTAAGACTTCATTAATTAGGATGACTGGGGAGAAGTCATCTGAGTATAGTATGCATACATTATCATGTATTTTTAAGCAAAATGAGTTGTGTTGCTTTCAGATACTTAAAAGTGCTACCTAGTACAAGTTTCCATTTCAAGTTTTGATAGCATTGTTTGGAATTAACTTCTTAAGGCAGTAGAGTAAGTAGATTATTTTGCTTAAGGCTCTTTTTGTAAGTATGTTAAGTTAAAATATTTAAGTGAGTCTTACAGAACATTTGGATACAGTTTATTTTCTTAAACAGATAGATATTGGCCTTAATTATGAGGTAGCATGTGTTAATACCCTTACATTCTTCTTCTTCTTTATTTATTATATAGATAAAATTCAGTCTACCTTCATCCAAAATAGATTTAGTGATTTAGAACTGGTGATGTTTTGTTTTGGGTGAATTTTGCCTAATATTTTAGTATTTGAAATGTCAAATTGTTATCTATCATAGTGTTTGATTTGCTTAGAGCTATTGTTTTTTTTATTATTTTTTGTGATCTTTCGTGGTGGAAGCAGTTAAATTTCATTTTAATTTTTAAAACGGCAAGTGTCTATTTAGTGCTCTTTGACAATTTGTTATTTTAAGTTAATCTTTTTGGATGAAATCATCAATTATCTTTTTGCATTTCAAATTTTATTTAATTTAATTTGTTTTGTTTTATTTATTTAATTTATGTATATTAGTTGTAAACGGTCATGCAGACAGGGTGATGTTTTGATACATGGAATGTTTAGTGACCATATCGGGGTAATTAGCATGTCCATCATCTCAAACATTTTTCATTTCCTTTATGTTGGGAACATTCAGTATTCTCCTTGTAGCTATTTGGAAGTATATAATATATTGTCATCAACTGTAGTCACCTTACAGTGCTATAGA